CCTCCTCTGAAGCAGAATATTTCTTCAGATCAAACTCATCCAGATCTTCCTCTGATGACAGTAAGACGAAGACCAGAGCTGACCACTGAGCAGGAGACAGTTGATCTGTGGAGAGACTTCCTGAACTCAGGGCCTGTTGGATCTGCTCCACCAGAGAACCATCATTCAGTTCATTCAGACAGTGGATCAGGTTGATGCTTCTGTCTGCAGATATCTTTTTACTGAGCTTCTTCTTGATGTATTGAGCTGTTTCCTGATTGCTCTGTGAGCTACTTCCTGTCTGTGTCAGCAGACCTCGTAGGAGCCTCTGATTGGTCTGCAGGGAAAGACCAAGGAGGAAGCGGAGGAACAGGTCCAGGTGTCCATTTGGACTCTGTAAGGCCACCTTCACAGCACTCTGATGGAGATGTTTTAGTTTTGGTTTAAGGATCCGATAAAACAAGGTTAAAGGTGGTTCCATCAGGTTGAGTCCAGACCTGCTGAAGGTCAGATGGACGTGCAGAGCAGCCAGAAACTCCTGAACACTCAGATGGACGAAGCAGAACACCCTGTCCTGGTACAGCCCGCTCTCCTCTTTAAAGACCTGTGTGAACACTCCTGAGTACACTGAGGCTGCTGAGATATCGATGCCACACTCTGTCAGGTCTGATTCATAGAAGATCAGGTTTCCTCTCTGCAGCTGATCAAAAGCCAGTTTTCCCAGAGACTCCACCATCTTCCTGCTCTCTGGACTCCAGTGTGGATCTGTCTCAGCTCCTTCGTCAAACTTGACCCTCTTCACTTTGGCCTGAACCACTAGGAAGTGGATGTACATCTCAATCAGGCTCCTGGGCAGCTGTCCTCCCCCTCTGGTTCTCAGCAATTTCTCCAGAACTGTAGCAGATATCCAGCAGAAGACCGGGATGTGGCACATGATGTGGAGGCTCCGGCAGCTCTTGATGTGGGAGATGATGCTGCTGGCCGGCTCCTCATCTCTGAATTTCTTCCTGAAGTATTGCTCTTTCTGCTCGTCTGTGAAGCCTCTGACCTCTGTCACCATGTCGACGCAGTCAGTAGGGATCTGATTGGCTGCTGCGGGCCGTGTGGTGATCCAGAGGCGAGCAGAGGGAAGCAGATTCCCCCTGATGAGGCTGGTCAGCAGCACGTCCACTGAGCTGGACTCTGTGACCTCAGTCAGGGGCTCCTGGTTGTGGCAGTTCAGAGGAAGTCGACTCTCATCCAGACCATCAAAGATGAACACAACCTGGATCTCTGCAGAGCTGCAGATTCCTGCTGCTTTGGTTTCAGGAAAGAAGTGATGAAGGAGTCCCACCAAACTGAACTGTTTCCCCCTCAGCACGTTCAGCTCTCTGAAGGTGAAGGGAAACAGGAAGTGGATGTCCTGGTTGGCTTTGCCTTCAGCCCAGTCCAGAATGAACTTCTGTGTTAGGACTGTTTTCCCAATGCCAGCCACTCCCTTTGTCAGCACTACTCTGATTGGTTCATCCTCTTCAGGTGGGCCTTTAAAGACGTCTTCCTGTCTGATGGCTATTTCTGGTCTGTCTGCTTTCCTGGAAGCTGCTTCAATCTGTCTGACCTCATGTTCCTCATCGAGCTCTATAGCCCCCCCCTCTGTGATGTAGAGCTCTGTGTAGATCTGATTCAAATGGGTTTGCTTTCCTGCTTTAGCAATGCCCTCAAACACACTCTTGAACTTCTTCTCCATAGCAGACTTATGTTTGAGCTCACAGTCCAAATAAAACTCTGAATGGAAAAAGAAACACATGGAAGATTCAATTTATTTTCCTCAAAAGCTGAAAAGGTCTCACAGAGAAAGACAGTGGCTGTTCACAGTAACTGCTGTTAAAGGATGTGTGGCCTCACCTTTCAGAAGAGGATGAGCAGGGGAAAAGTCCAGATCAGAGGAAAGGGCTGGATCTATGGCTTTAAAATGTTCTATCATCTTCTTACAGGCATTTTCTCCTTGATTCTTCACATAGTCCAGGAGATCACGTGCTTTGTCGGCTCTAACTGGGTTCTTCTGCAGAATCTCCTCTTTTTGCAAATTATTGAGCACACCATCTTTTCGTAAGGCATCGATGAGCTGTTTGAGGCTTGCTTCTGGCATTCTGCCCACAAAGTTACACCTGATCCTTTCAACCTCGCTCACTGCAGGAAGAATCAAACACACTCTTAAAGTTTTCAGTGCATGCTCTTGAGGCATTTAGTGAAGACAGGCCTCCATTTGAAGATGTACTTCAGCAGAACTGAGTATTACTCATGAAAACACTTCTTTAAAGAAGCTGTGGGCCCAGAGAGTACAAAAGAACCAAACCATTTCAGGGTCAATAACCAGATCTGTGAGAACAGGTGAGGACTGCAGATGGAGCAGTAACCTGAAACTTCTATTCCCAGCATTCATAACCAGAAACCTTCTCACTAACTGGTGGTTTCCTGTCCAGATTTGTTCTGTTTTGATTAATTTTCTTCTGTCTTTGATGTAGCTATCCTGTGGGTTTAAAGACTTTCTACAGTTCATTGTTTTTTTATTTGGTTACCGTGTGCTTGCCTTTGTTTAAATTGACTGTCCAAAGGTGGCAGAAGATAAAACTTCCATGTGCTTTTTAGTTAAAACATGTTTATTCCTCTTTCTGACCTGTTTGGGCTTTTTTCACTCTTTATTCAAATTGAGGGTCACAGATATGCCCTCACTCTAGTTTTAATGAATGCAAATACGTATATTTTGAAGTTGTTATTGAATGGATGACCCATGTGTATGTCTTTAACAGTTTAGGACATCTTTACACGCAGTGATGCTAAAACAAAACAGAAACAATCTGCTGTGATTGGTCAGCGGCGCTTCACGACTCCTGCTACAGTTCCTGTATCAGAACAGAGCTGGTAAACAGTCTTCATTCATCATGTTGAATGGTTAACCTGTTGTGCTGGGCACTGAAACTTTACCTGCTGAAGGGGGTGGATGTCCTGAAGTTGCTGAATGGGTTGGGGGGGCTTCTGTTGGAGCTTCTGAGGGGTGTCCCTCTGTTTCCTTGTCATCATCTTTGCTCTAAAAACATTGAGAATCCGGTTCAT